TAGTAGTAGTAGTAGTAGTAGTAGTAGTAGTGATGATAGTAATAGTAATGGTAATAGTAAAGAGAGCTTTGGGATGTGATATTGATATAAGGATTAAGTAATGATAAAAACAATTGTCAAGATTAGAGGATCCACTAAAAGTATTTCAAACAAGTATAATATAAACTCTTATTATTCAACAGGAAACCACACACAAAAAAGGTTTCAATCGGATTATAAATTATTAATATGATTACATTAGTTATTTTATTCGAATAGTGATAATACTTGTAAATGTTGTCAGGTATTCATGATTATAACTTATGTTAACAACAAATCAAATTCTTTTCATCGCACAGGTGTCGGTTATACCATACAGTTTGTGCTATGAAAGTACCGAGTATTTCTTGTACCAAAGTTATACAATATAAATTTAGATTAACCATTTAACAAGCACAGTATTAAAAGCGAATAAGATAACAAATACAAATATGCTAATATCAAACATTGAAGTCCTTGTTGAGTTTATACTAAACTTATTTTTACACCATTAGTATAACCTTTTCACCTTGACATGATAAACTTAGCTAAACATAATGAAAAAGAGAAACATAAATAAACAAGATAAGAATATAAATAAGATATAAGTTAACTAGGTAAAGAAAGGAAATGAGAAGCATAAACAAGAAATTAATATAAGCAAAACTTAAACATTACAATAAAAAAAGAGCAAAAACATAATCTTGATATGGAAATCAAGATGCCTAAATATATGGTAAATGCCTTTTTTTTATAGGACAAAATTGAAAACTATTGATTTGATGACTAATTATTGAGTTGATGATCACATCTTGACTTGGTGACAATCTTTATCTTTTTATCCACCAAAAAAACATCTTGACTTGGTGGCAATTTTTATCTTTTTATCCACCAAAAACATTATTGCTAACGTCAGAATTTGAACAAACTTAAATTATAAAAAAGAAATTGAGATCATTGGGATTTATATAATTCGAGATATATGCTAAATACTGAACAATGTTTGGTTTTGGGTCAACTTGCTGGATCAGTCTAGAGCTTAGGTTAGTCTAGTTTTGAGTTAACTTGTCAGGTTAGTTTTGGTTTTATAACTAGAGTTATTAAAATATTATTAATTTTAACATTTAATATACACTATTGTAAAAATATATATATATGTTTAATACTAATACATATTAAGGGTAAAATAATTTTTTTTATATTTTATCTTATCTTGTTCATTAAAACTAAACATGATATAAAAATAATTATTTTATTTTATATACCACTACTAAATATAATTTTATCTTTGATTTCTTTTTGTCTTGTCTTCTCTCTTCTACTATCTCCATTTCTTTTGTTTCAAGCACTAACCAAATGCTATATATATGTTTCTTTTATGTGATATCTTTTATTTATATTATTTGGAATCCTCTATAAAATAAAATAAAAACTAAATTTAAAAAAATAATATTAGATAATTATATTATTTCTTTCTTGATCATGGATTCTTAATTAATGGATTTCCTCTTCTAAATGTATAAGATTATTTTCAATCATATTCTAATTTTTGTTTGATCTTTAATTTATTTTTTTTTCTCTTTCCTATATTTTCTCTTTATTATTTTTAGTTAATAATCATCTTAGTCTTTTGTTTTCTTTTTATTTTTAATTCATTCCCTAATTTTTTTTTATCATATGATTAAATTAAATATATATAAAAAATTAAGTTTGATTGAAAATATAATCTTTTGAAAACGTTTAGAGAATTGAGCGTAAAAAATAGGTCATTACAATCATAATCCATAATAAATGTATTAACTTTAATATTTTTTTTAAAAAAGAATACCTTGATAAATTAATCTTTTATTAATTAATGCAAAATATTAGTTTATGGATTAAATAATTTTTTATGCTTCAGATATCTTAATTTATAGGGATTTAATTATATAAAATAATATTTTATTGAAGTGTTTTCATACATTTTATTACAAAATATGAAAGTAAAGATTATTATTATTATTATTATTTGAATTGTAAATTATGAACTATTAATGCATTACAAGTAGAATTTTGTAGTCGGAGAGCGCGAAACCGAAGATGGCGGTCAGCGATCCACAGAGGCAACTCCTAACACTAATTCTCGAGTTTGCTACCGAGAAATCACAGGGAGGTAAGTGCCTCTGCACTTGTTCATTTCCTCGTTTGGTTCCCTAGAAAATGAAGCGAACAAAATATTAATTTCTCTTATCAAAACCTCGCCTTGGGAACTGTTTGAAAGCGTTAAATAACCAGAGTGTCAGTTATTGGTTTCTCACATTGTCAGTAACTAAACAGAGGCTGTTTCCCGAGAAAATGCTGGAAAATAGTAGAAAGTTTATTGATCGAGAGCCAAATATCGAATGTTTTATTTTATTAGGTTTATTATTATTATTTTTGTTTTCAAATTTGTATCGGGTGTTGTAAATTTTGTAGAGAGAAGAGTGATTGGGCTAGAGAAGCTAATGCAAGAGCTTGGATGTGAAGTAGATGTGGCAAATGGAGAGATGGAAGAGGTGAAGTGTATCAAAGAAACTACTGAGCAAGAACTTAAAGGCTACGAACTTCAATTGGCTTTAAATGAAGCTTCTATTCAAACCCTTGAGGTTTGTTTTATTTATTTGCTTTACTTCTATTTGATTAGGTTTTTCTATTGAATTATGAACGTCTTATATGCTTTCAGGCAAGAATCTCAATTATTCAAGATGAGATATCCTCGGTTGGATCCCAAGTAGAGGGTCTGAAGGTAGTATGATAGCGTGTTGCTCTCTCTCTCTCTCTCTCTCTCTCTCTCTTCATTTGGATGAAGTGAGACGACTTGCATTTTTTGGTCTTTTTTTATCTGTTTGTAATTCTTGTTCTGAACCTTATTGCATGGGTCATTGTGCTTGGGCGGTATGAAGAATGAAGAAGAAGCTTCACGGTAAAGATTGCTGTTTATTTTACTTGCCATTCCATTACATCAGAGCATATGATTGTTTGCTTCATTGAAATCGATTCAAGTAGTATCAATTGATGTCTCAAGTAGTATTAATTGATGTCGTTTTGGTAACATGTTTTTGTTGTTTGTGCAGAGATGAGTTTATTCGCCAGATGTTGATCTTAATGCTAAGATAAGGTTAGTCTCATTTACTAGGACCTATGTAACTTCAACTGGGAATTTGTGTAGCCCCTGTCTGATATATAATTGCACTCTTCTTTGATTAACTTCATGATTTTGGAGATGTTTTCTTCTTGGAAGATGAATTAGATTTGTTAATTGATTTAACCTATTTTCAGAATTGTAAGGAAGGGGAGAAAATAAATATACTAAATTGAAGAGCTCATCTACAAGTTCTTCTCTGTTTTATGGCAGAAATTATAGTGGTTGGTGTAAATTTCATATATGTCACTACCTCCAAGTTTTTATTTCAACTCTTTTGAATCTGAAGTAATGACAAGAAGTTTCTCTTTGTTATAGATATGCTTGAGCGTTTTTTTCCTTTTTTCTTTTTTGGCTATGTATAGATATGTAAAGGACTGGCAACATATACACATATAAATTCCCCTTTTCATAATTGTATATGCCATTAATTTTTATGACTCAACCACTTTCCATCTGAATTACCCACAAACTTTTATGAGCTTTTAGAAGCTTGTTAGCTTATCTTCCTGGTAGTGTTTGAGTTTAAACCAATCTCTCTGCAAGTCCTTGAACTGTTTCATTCCTTGGATGCATAATTCTTTAGGCTTGGCCTTGAAGCTTGAGGATATGGATTAATTCCTAACATTGTCATGGAAAACTTCGTTTTTGTACTGTATCTCATGATCATTGTTTTAAACAGAAAAGAACAAAGGCAAGAAGGCAGGGGAAAAAAAAATCAAAAGCTCATGCATTTCAAGGTTTAACGCCATTGCATATGATAGAAAATGGGAACGCAAAGATTTGAGTATGTTTAGGAGGAAACATGGATACTAGAATTATTAAATTTGAGAAAAGAACTATTTTCTCAAAAGAGGAAAAAAAAACTACAAGTGTTGGTATTTCAGATAAGCTGCAGAGGGGATGCTGTGTGAAGGTAATCTATAACCAGAAGTTGTAGATTTTTCTTCTTCATATCTCCTAACATCTTTTCCCATCTCAAACTATATGACCTATCATATAGGATATCCTTCATAATACTTTCCTCATGTTGCAGGAATGTTCACAGAACATATTGATCGATATGCTGTGTTTTCCTTTCAAGTTAAATGAATAAATAAGAATGTGATATCATAGATTTGAATGGACGTTCTGGTAGTAGAGTAAAACAACTAATTTTATAACTTATATGTTAATATAGGAAATTTCAAGAGGAAAAGTGTATCAAATCTAAGAAAAAGAGCAGCATTGGAACCACAGCAGGTGATTTCACCCGTACAGAACATTTACTGCTCTAGCAGCTGAACCTTTTTCCAATTGCAGGTTTTTCATATATATATATTTTTTTATTGATGTTGATATTAATTCATGGCTATTCTTCTCAGTTCTTTTTCTTTTTAATAAGCTTTGTGACAGCAAGTGAGCAGAATAAAGTGTTTTTCATATATATATATTTTTTTATTGATGTTGATATTAATTCATGGCTATTCTTCTCAGTTCTTTTTCTTTTTAATAAGCTTTGTGACAGCAAGGGAGCAGAATAAAGTGTTTTCTTTTTTTCTTAAAGAAAAAAAAAATGGTTACCTTCCCAATTTCAATCTTAAAATTCTGAAAGATCAAAGTAACTGATCCCTGATTGATTTGATTCAAGTTTGGGAAACTTTTATGAGTAATTTTTTTCATGAATGAATCCATTTATCTGGTGAGACCATAAAATAAGATTCAACCTTTGAGTTGCTGATGAGTAACACTGGTTGGTTGATATGAAGTATGGATGCAGTATTTGTCTTGTTACTTTTCTGTGGTATTAGGGACAGGCTTAGTTGGATCATGATTTTGGATTGTGCTTCCAAGATGTTCATTCATATAAATGAACAGATTTGAATAGTAATTAACAAACAAGCAAACAAAACCAACACTGTAGGAATCTTGTAAAAATAGATGAGTTGAAAACCCTAATCTGTAACTCAATTAACTAGTCATAAAGGAAAGGATCAAAGCAGAAAAACTAAATTTCAGTGAGTAAGCAAAAGTTTGAGTCTGCTCTCTTCTCCTTTTTATACATTTAGTTGTGAAACTAGAAATATGAGTTTGTTGAAGTGATTGTGAAAGCTTATAGTGGCTTGCTAGAACGAGTTTTGGATTGTATGTGGCGTGGGATTATATATTTGAGTTTTCTCATCTTCTACAGCAAAGTCATTTGATTTAGGAAAATGTAAATGGATGTATCAGCTGCAGCAAATTTCGATCTGTTTCTTACTGTGGGTGCATGAACATGTGCTCCGCCTTTGATTGGCTGATGAACTCCTAATTTGTTGAGAAAATAACCTTTTAGCAACCCTATTAGAGCAGAATTTAAAGCATGGCATTTTGTATTTTAGAAGTTAAGTGTTGTCCTTGTCCTTTTCTTTGGGAGGCCCTTCTCTTTGTGAGGCCTCAGCTTTACTCTGACTTGTGGCAGCTTTAGAGAGAAAGAAGGGAAGAGAAATTTAGCTTTCTAAGCAAATATAGAGACAGATTCATGCGATTGGGTGTGCTGGGTATGGGGCTTAGGGGAGTTATTTGAGTGGACTTCAATGATATCTTCTTTCACACAGTAAATTTCTTAGCATCTTTGCTCATGGAAGCAGGCTTGCTGAACTGCACTATATACTTGTGTTCTGGGAATGTTTCATTTTTCATTTTGTTCTGCTTGGCAGTTCTTTTAAATGTTATGTTAATCACTACAACCATGGACATTTCTAGGCTTATTGGTATTAACTGAAAATTGTTTGGTCAAAGCATTGAGGAGGCATATATGTTCTTCTCAGGATACAAATTATATAGACAACTGTTATATCCAAAGAAAAAAGGTCAGATAGGTAATTGACAAACTGCGAGGCACTTGTATGCATTACGAACTAGCATCTAACTGCAATTCAACCCCTATTTGCTTTTGCTTTTACCATCAATTTGCAAATGCCATATAGAATGTTATATGTTGCTTTGGTTTTATGTTGAGGGAATCCTTGTGTCTTTATTTCAGAACCAGACAGAAAAGCTGTAAAGAAGGTAGTTACTGAAGTTGAGTTAAGAGCTCTTGAGGATATTCTTGCCCATGTAGCTTCTCAGACATCTAAAGAGGAACAAGAATACATAGCAGAGGAGAATATTCAGAATCAGGTAAGAAGTTGATTCAAGATTTCTATAGATGTTTTCTGTTGTTATAGAAAGATTCAAGAATGCCTCCTCAACATTTCTTCATTTCCCTTGAGGACAATTTGAGTTGCCCGTTTCTTTGCAGGTCCAGAAGGAGTATATTGACCTTCAGAGGAAGGTTTCTCTGATGGAGGCAATAGTGAAAGAAACAAAAGCATTGCAGGACTTAACAAGATATCCTTACAAACATTACAGTGTGTGGAACTGGCTGTCTGGTCATGATTAACTATACTTTTTCTTGGAGAGAGATAAATGTCCAGGCAGATCATACGATTCAATTGATGGTAAATGATATTGAGAGCATGCCTAGAAATTTGAGCAGCCCATAAGAACATCTGATTTCTAAAATTTTATCCTTCCAAAAACCGCCATTTACATAAATGGCTCTTAAATGTTTCTGAATGCTACTTATGAGCAGTTTTTCCAAGATTTTTGTGCAAGTTTTTTGAAGTTTCTAACTGCCTGATGTTAAATGGTTGGTCAATTTTATGTTTTCTGCCATCTCAGCCATCAGTAACATATTTCATCTTTTGACTTTTCTCCCAGTAAAAAGAGGGGGAAATCCCAGTAAAAAGAAGGGAAAAAAGAACAGCTAAAACTTTTTGTATACAAAGTAAAAATGGATTGCATCGCTTCGCAGGCACAGTTATAGTAAAACATATGATGCATATGTACAAAATTTTAAGTATCTTTGACTAGAAACAAGCAGGCTTCTGTGTTGGAACAGAATTATGCTTCCCTTGGTGAGCAGTTGCAAAAGAGATGCCTATGTCCCCTTTGTCATGCAGATAATTTTGAGGTCCCGGGTGGTGTTCTTCAGGCAAATGAGGCAAATTGATAGTAAGTACTCTACTTCTTGTTGCTGCGTCCAATGAATATGAAATATGTAGTGAAATTTGGAAACTGTGGTTATTAGCATGTGTTACTATTTTGAATTTTTTATGTACACAATCATACTAGGAAGCTATTGCTCTATGTCCTATTGAAGAAGCCTGATGGCCTACCAAGTGGAAAAGTGTTCTCGACTGTTTTTTGCTTTTAAAATTTCATGCTGGTCCTTCTCAGTGTGTAAGCTGCTATATTTCAACTTGTCAGTCAAAATGGCCAAACTATTACACTTTCTCTGTTTCTGGTTATCCATTATTACAATCTATTGAAGGAAACAAATCATGTAGTTATTAATCAACTTTCACTTTCCATCAATCTAACTTAAAATTGCACTTTGAAACCCTACAAAGTGAAAATTTTCTTTTCTAAGAACGAAAGTCAAAATTACTTAAAATGATGCTTCTCTAGAAAGCCAGCTGTGGCAGCATAGCAAGCCAAAAGGCCAGCAGCATTGCCTAAAATTGCACTTCCTCTGTTTTTGCTATTGTATTTGCATGTTTTATGGCAATGATCCTATACCATTTACTGATTCCTTGGAAAATAGTGATAACAAGGTAGATCTGGCCCCTCCTTTGCTATCGATTGGCTCCTGAAATGAATATTATATTGGCATGAGTATCATTGATATGAGTTGATGACCTATGGCTACGAACTTGTTTCATTTTCACATATAAGTTACGTCAGAATTTTGCCTTAAACAACACAGCCAGAACTTACCAGTTTCCCTGAAGGCATGGGCAGAAAGGTGCCTGTAGGAAAAACCTTCCTCGGATTAGTAACCTTCATGACTTCTATTGGTATAGAAAAGAGTGCAGAAACTGGCCGGTGGTCAGAGAACTTGCTTTCACTTCGAAAATAGGAAAGTTGCCTCACTCCTTTTCCATACCACAGTATTCTGTCACACCTGTCGGCAGATTTAGGCGTTATTTTAGCTGAAGGTAATTTGTATGATGTACAGTGCAAGGTTAGTTCCCTCTAGGCCAGAGGACTCATATTGGCCTTGTGATGGCTACTTACGGTAAATAACAATTCAACACAACTGTGGTTCACTGACGTACCATGCTGGAGTTCTTTGCTTCTCCCCCGATCTGCCTGGCAGGCCAGCTGTGTACCGATTGCAATTTGCCGAGGAGTATTTGTATGTTGGTGCGAATTCTATGTTCCCTTCTCTCCAACCTTCGAACACTCCCCCATCTTCCAGTTCCTTTCGTAGCTGATCAAATTCCTGCAATGCTTTCCAATCTTGCTTCTTTATGAATTCCTTGGCCAAATTGTTATCTTGGTACAGCCGATAGTTGAGATCTCCGAACCAGAATATACGACTGCTTAATATGGCATTTTATCTTGTTCAGATGAACCTTGCATGTATACCGATAAACTTTTATTCAAATAAACGACATTTAGGTTCATACCTGCCGTTCTCCGACAGCAATTACTTTGGGCAACTTTCACATCCTATAGATTTTGATACTGGTTTGGATTTAGGAAATTGAACATAGCCAAACGCTAGAATTCCATGGAATTTTAACCAGATGCTAGAAATTGGATATACTAGGGATGAATTTTTCAGAAATTTCACTATGTGAGATTGTTAGACTTGGTGGGATCTTGTTTGATAAATTGAATCTTGCGTGGTCTGAGATCTGTAATGGCTTGGCAGCATGAAAGCAAGCGAGTCCAAGAAAATTTTTCCTCTACAGTCTAAATTGTTGGTTACCGTTTAAGAATCATGTTGCTGGTATTACTATTTCTACTTGTATAAATAGATAGTTTGAGGACCACTTACTCGTGTCCTAGGATGGTGATAGGATGAGGATTGTCATCATCTTCAGAAGAACGGGGGAATGAAGTTCGTCTGAAAATCTCTGAGACTTGGTGATTCCTCCTGCCTTCATCACCTCTCTTCTCGCCGGAAGCCAAGTGAGCAGTAATGAAGCAAAAGCTAGTTCCTTCAATAGACATACTAACTGAAACTGAACCTTTATTTCCCAAGTATCCCATGATGCCACAAGCCACGGAAGAAACCTTAACATCTGAAATGCGGTACTTCGTGAGAAATTCCTTCTTCATCCATACACTTATAAACACTCCAACCATCTTCTTGCTGGCCATTAGCTTATATTTGCTGCACCCATATGCCTCCTCTTCTTGCTGTGCCTTTGATAGCTCCGGCCCTGTAAATCCAGAATGGCCGCTAAAACTTGCCCTCCTCCCGAAACCGGGGAACCTAACAAAATGATAGTGTTCACTTGAGATTGGATTCAACATGGGGGTCAACCAGGGGCATCCATACTTGTCGTTCAGAGTTTTTCCGATGAGCAAGTTCCAGTTTGTTGCTTCAGTTGGGTCTTCTCCTCCTATCACGTTTTTGGTTTTCAAAGGCACAATCTCCTGAAACCTGCACGTAGTAAGAGAAGCTCCCGTTGTCAGATGCATCCTTGAGATTTAACGAGTAATTAACCTTCAAAGTATTACCTACCCTAGAACATACATATCAGCCGCATCCTTGAGATTTAGCCATTCATTCACATCCACGGCTAAGCTTCCAACAGGAGATCTTCCGGCAACATTCCATGTACCCACAAAGATTCTGAGAAGCATAACATACACATTTGTGAGATGGAAGCTGAAGCAGGTTTTTTTGGGTGTATCTTCTGCCAGAGCAACGTTTATAAAAACATCAATCACCTCAATTCATTGGTAAAGATGCATGGATCTATCTCCAACGATCTAACGAGGTCATCATGCAGGTTATCGTCCTCACTGTCATCTGCAACAAAATACAGTAAACATTATTTAAAAAGAAATTGAAAAATAGGGACGAGGGGGGGTGTAATTGACCTGAAACTTCATTCCATTGATAAGCGTCGGCTCTCTTGTTCTTTCTCTTAAACCACTCGCGAATTCTTCTAGTTTTTGACTTCCGGTTCTCAATGTCCATAGCTCAGATCATCAAAGGTCAAGGCCATGCCGCGAATACAAGAGTAGGGGGAAGTGGATGTGCTTTGTGCAACTTTTTGTCGTGCCTTCTCTTCATTCGGAAGCTTTTACGTGGTTGCTAGCTAGATTAATTCATTAGTAGTGTCAATAAAAAACGTAGGTTTCACGGTAAGGAACCATAGTTTTAATCGCCTCGTACCGATATTGAAACAAACTTAGGAACCATTTAAATTTATTTCAACGGAGAATCCCAGGAAAGGTGAGCGAAATTGGACAATGTATCATGTGAAAGTCAAGGTTTGGTTTGGGGAGAAACTCCTCTCATGGTGATGGTATACTTCAGCCACAAAATAATAGAGGCCTCACAGGCTTCTATCATTTGCATTCATTATTTGAGCAGTGGTAGGTGGTGGTGGCGGTCACACATGTCTCGTGGAGTTTTACACGACAAGTTTATAAGACTTCCTCGTCACAACATATAATGGGATCATTATTAAGGATGGTTTATGTAAAGCCTAGCATGACCGTTATTTATTGGAAGTTGGAAGTACAGAAAAAGTTCAGTAAATCGTTGATGAGTGTGTTTGTTGTAAAAAAAACAAGTTAGATGTTAAGGATAGTTTATTATACTATCAGAAAAAAATAATAATCAAAATCAAATAAATATTAAATAAAAAAATTTAATAAAAAAATTTATGTTTAAGATTGAAATTAGAAGAAGAAAAAAGTCAAGCCATGCACACGCATGAAATCAAAATTAAATTAATTATTTATTAAGTAATACAGAAGTAAGAGTTATTTATAATTTAATTTTTATAATTCCTTGAAACTATTTAATTAGTCATTGTGGTATAAAAATTAATTAAATGATACGGTGGCCAGGAGAGGTTTTTACGGAAATCCATTTTTCAATCTAATTTAATCTAAAAACACCTTAAAAATTAAATTTTTTATTTTACTATTTTAATTAAATGTTTTTAGTATTTTTAGTTTATTTTGATATGTTGATATTAAAAATAAATTTTAAAAAATAAAAAAATATATAATTTTAATATATTTCTACACAAAATATTTTTAGAATTATCCGTGATCAAAATACCTTCCGGCTGCTCATGTTTCTGTGAAACGTTGCGCATCAAATCACTACAAACCCTAGAGTACTACATTTATGAGTAATTCTAATTATAAATGTAATCAAATCAATGCGAAAGGCCACTTAAAGGCGTGAAATTGTGGTCCACAAATGCGAAAGGCCACTTAAAGGCGTGAAATGGTGGTCCACATGGGTGGATGGATGGATGGATAGAAGAGCAATTCTTCACAAAACTTGCAACCATTTGTGTTTCACCAATCATCGAACGGTGTGAGGAGTGAAAGCACCATCTTTTAGACGACAAGTTCCTCCAAGTTCGCTCCTTCATTATTGGTGGTGTTGTATTTAAGACATTCCTAGCGACCGGACGATCACCCTCCAAGCAGAAGCATCGGTCGCCCTCGCCAATAAATGTAGCTGCCTGCAATTGGTGAGGTTGGTTGGTTTTCAAGGTATAAATCACTATGAGAGAAGCATCTTGTAGGATACAATCAAAGGAAGTATTTGGTATTGTTGCGAGCTGAGTTTTGGGTATTGTTTTAAGGTATAAATCATTATTGTTGTTCGCAATCACCAAAAAAAAAATATAAAAAAAATATTTATTATAAATTTAAATATTTGTATATTTAAATATAATAAATCTAAAATAAAAGTGGTATTTAAAAAGGAGGAGGAGGTTGGTTATTGTCAAGGTCATGGGGTCCATTAAGAAATGCATATATACCACTCATTTATGATTTTATTTTCATTACCAATCGACAAAGTTATTCATGATTAGTAGTTAGTCATTCATATTTTTCATTATAATGGAATGTTCGAGCCTACGAACTTCCAACGGTAAAAACATTAAGAGAGTTGTCCATAAATTCTCGGTCGTGGTGCTAGAGAGTTTATACAACCGATTTCTATTAGGTCTACTAGACGCAACTTACCTCCAACCACATATTTAGATTGAGATTCAGATAGGTCAAAGGATCGTCCCTATATCTCTAATTCAATCGGTTGTTATATGTATTCCAAAAAAAATTCATTAAATTCAAGAAAATAATAACTTCAGAAAAAAAAAAACTCTTTTTATTTCACATATTGTTTTGCTTTCTTTGGCATTTAGTACAAAAAAATTACTCAATCTATAAGTTACAAAAATTTGTATTAGTAAATCAAAAATAATATTGTAATATTTGGAATAAAAAAATCATCA